ATAATATCGCTCTCTTGTAATTCGGTTTATCTACTCAACCAATCTTCAATGCAATACTATTACGTATTTAGGCAAATACTGTAGATATATTTTAAGGAGCCATCAGACCACCGCAGATGGGGCCTAATAGGGCTGATGTCGATACGGAGTCGCGGAGGGCTTAACGGGTTGCCGAGCTCGAAGTTCAGGAGTAGACACGGGGTGGTTTTTAGTCAATAAGAGTCTGACACTCCCTCACGCGTCACCCGGGCGAGAGAAGTCATAGGATGATGATGCCCCCTCAAAAAAGATATATTTTATAATAAACTATACAAATAACATGAAAGTTTTTGAACATCTCAACCAAGACCCATCGCAATCCAAACAGGACATTAAACTACCTGAAAATCTTAAATTGTTATTATGGGTGTACCCAAACCCACAAATAATACGTTAGATTTTTCCAAAACCACAACTCTAGTAGTAGACTCACTCTATTTAAATATTTACTTAGTACCTTTAACATCTAAGAATAAAGGTCGTTTACAAACAGACGTTATCTATAAATCGAAGTGTTTCTTGTGTCGAGATGGTATCAGCTCATTGACAAACCATACATGATGTTTTGTTATCAATAGACATAATTCAAATATTTAACCTGTTACATGTGTTTTACACGCATTTTATTGTAAGGATTCGTAGATAAAGGTAACATGAATCTATGTATAATTCGGGTTGGTAAAAAGCGAATTTTTTTGTTAACACAGTCTTATTTTAAAGGAATTCGATCGAGATGCAATATGATGTTATGTTATCAATAGACATAATTCAAATAATATATAAATACCATGTTACATAATATGTATGTTTTAAATGCGTTATTATAAGGGTTCGTATATAAATGTAACATATTATTGAACATCATTTTTCAGCATGGTCAAAATGACGATCCTGAAAAATGATGTTCAATGACATGACCGGTATATGGCAATAGGCTCACCCCCTATTACATGGGACTCATAACATAAATAGTGTAAAGTGGGTGTTACATTGTACAGTGGCATAATGTGCACCTCTGCCTACCCCTTCGGGGATAAAAGGCGTGATGTTATGTTATGTTATGTTCGAAATGACGAAATGTCTTTGTTAAAATCTTTGTTAACGATTGTTTTATTTTGAAGCATTTTCATGATGCACCGGGTTTAATATCCGCTTTCGTTGTTTCTTATGTCGCGGCTGATGTCAGGCAATTTTCAATGCCATATCATTACATGATATTTTCAATACATATATTCTAATATTTACCGATGTGTAACAAGCATCATTGTTAGGGTTCATAGATAAAGATAACAAGAAACCCAAAAGGCGAAAACTTTAAGTTAAAATCATTTTAAATCTTTGTTAACGATAGTTTTATTTTAAAGAAATTCGATCGGACTTCATTTGCCTAGTATTTCTTGTATCAAGATTGATGTCAGCTCATTGACAGTGCCATAACATGATATTATGTTATCAATACACATTCAAATATTTACCAGTTCGCTATCACCTATGAGACATGTGTTTTACATGCATTATTGTTAGGGTTCTTAGATAGTGTTAACTTGTTATTGAAATGGGTACTTTAAAGAAAATAAAGGAGGTTTTAAGGTTAAGCTAGGTTATGTCTTTAATTGCATTATCATTGTGATCTGTTATCTAATGATATTTTAACAAGTACCTATAGTTTGTTAGTTTTGGTTACAGTCACCTGTCAGTCTTGTGTCACATATTTGTTCTTCAAGAGGGGAGTGAATAGGTTTCTTAAGGGTAGGCAAGACGCATGTAATGCCCCAAGTGTTGCAGGCGTACATAGGCCACGGTAACCGCTTACCATCAGGTGGACCGTGTGCTGTTTTGCCACCGTGGTTGTTTAAAAAAAAATCTGGAATGGAACCTTTTAAACTAAACAAAACTCCAGGCGTCTGTCTTCACGATGTAAGTTACAAGTCTCAATATAATTATTAATTTAAATACCAAGTACGGTGACGATGTCTAATGTTAACAAGAATCATTGTTTTGTTAACGCTAGACATTGACTTTTCGGACAGCCCTATCAAAGATTGAAGATAACTTCACAGATGATATTGCATACAAGTTATCTGTTAACATCTCGTGTCACACATTTGATCTTGATTTCTCCTCACCTATGACGGCGGTAAACTTCAAAGTGTCACTACCTTATGATTAACTCATCAATTTGTTGATTGTAATAAGTTGTTGCAATGTCATAGATTTTGATGTACGAAAATTTGAAGTGCATTATCTCTTGTGGGTAGGTGTAGTTGAGAAGCTTAAGTGCTTTTATGTATTGTTTTTATCTACTTATTGAATCGGTCGTTAACATTAGGTAGTCTCAGTTTTAAAGAAGAAAATGATGTATATAAAATTGATTTAATAGACATTGATCCTTCTCCATATCTCTCTCTCATCATCTGAAAAATCTTTTTTCATGTTAGACCAATTTATTTTTGCCGATAACAGGCAGCCTTTCCTACATTTATCCATTGAAAACAATCGTTCTCATAACATCACGCCTTTTATCCCCGAAGGGGTAGGCAGAGGTGCACATTAAGCCACTGTTTAATGTAACACCCACTTTTCACTATTTATGTTATAAGTCCCATGTAATAGGGGGTGAGCCTATTGCCATATACCGGGCACAATTCCAGAGTCCGTGCTACTATTTTTTAACAACCCATTAAAACTTTGCCCGACCCAGGAATCGAACCTGAGACTCTCTGCCCGGCAGTCGCATTTGTGACCACTCGGCCAACAAGGCAGTCATTAAAAATGTCATTTATTCCTTTTACAACACAAATTGATACGTAACATTACTATAAACCCAAACAGCACTGACCTAGCACTCCATACACATAATTTCACTTAAGAACAGTTCCGACTGCTCCAAAGTACCGGTGTGTAAGTACAGAAAAGTTCGACAACACCCGACCTTCTTGCACCGAGGACATCAAACCGATCCGACTTCCAAGTAAAATTCGAACCTAATGGCGTTTTAATAGAGCGAAGCACTTTCACCAACTTAAATCTTTGGGCTTAAAAAAGGCTTTACATTGGTTTAAAGGGATGAGTGTGGCTCAAGCGGCTCGATTGCTGCCTTTAGCTTTGGCCAATTACTCACCGCCTAGTCAAGATTACAATCGCGTTGTGTGAGCGACGATTACTGTGTCTGTCATATTTGCTTTGCTTTGTTTTCGAGATATTTTTAGATGGTTTTTTGTTCCTTGAAATACTTATTTAGGGTTATTTTTAAGTTTGTTTGTTTGGCTTGAGTTCAAGTTTAATGTTCAAGTCAGATTTGTTATTGTCGTAGCTACTGTTGGTACTTGCAATAAGTAATGATCTCTTTGTTTTTAAACTGAAATTATGAATTTCTTTAAATAGCAATATTCATGTTCATCGTTATCAAAAACATCGATCCATTTCTGTCTGTCTACTGTTGAGCATAGAATTTGTTAAGCGTACTTGAATAGTAACTTATTGATAAATTTAATTTATTTATTTATTTAAAGCTTCATGCACAAAATGTACATAAGGTGGACTTAATGCCGCAGGCATTTTCTCCCAGTCTGACCTTTGGGTGATGCAGAGAAGAGTTGCTGGTGTGAGCACTTAAATCTTTATTTACTTTACATACATATACTTGTAGTTATTTATTGGAAGAAAATCTTTCAAAAATTAATTTCTTTATTAGAATAAGTAATAAATCAAGGCAAAAAGTTTGTATATCTAAACAAAACTCTTTTCTAAACCTCTTTGAATTTAAAGAATAATTGCGTTAGTCATATGTTTTATTTAGTTGCGCATAGAAAAAAAGTAGTAATCGTGCAGTTTATTGCCCACAATCAATAAGTTTATTTAACTGTTTTTAAAATAAAATCAGTCGGCAAGTGAAAACAGAAAAAATGGAAAGGTAAGACTACAATTTATTAAAAAGTCATAGCAAAAAAAATAAGTGAACCGGGAATATTGCAAAACCCGTTGGCATTGGCGCTTCGATACTCTTTGCTCTTATTTCTGAATATTGAATTCCCGTCGGCCGCAGATAGGCACTACAGCGTAAAAGGCAATTAAAGCTATAAATCATTTGTGTGTGCCCTTTTTTCCTACTTTTACCTTTTCCTAGCCATAACGGCAGGTTTTATGTGCTCACTGAAACACCAATGCCCGTCCACTGACAACGCTATTTGAAATATGAAAGTTGTAAAGTGATATATCTCCATCAGGCCGTTTTATGGTGCTTATTTTTTTTACTGCTCAAACAACGTCGTGTGCCGCTTTAAATCAAGCTGATATTTTAACTAAAAATGATTTATACGTGTTTGGAACTTTTGTTCGACTAGGAAGATTCTGTGTAGTTAGATTGTTTATGTTAGTAACTAACTCTAATAGATTGTGCTAACAAATTCGTTTGGTTTTATTACTTAGTTTCTGTTAGGTATTTTCGATAGTTTCAAGTAATAGGTATGACGATTAAAATGTTATGAACTCAGACGTCCAATAAACTGCAACGTGTACCTAATTACACGCTCTTGTCATAGTTGTCTTGCGAACTTATCTTGATGCTAGCTAATTGTGGCTATAAACAGTTACAACTCGCAAGTTGTAATTCCGTTTAAAGACTCATCTTTGTTGCAAATTATGCCTTCGAACTGATACTATCCACGTCAGTACATTATTTAATGAAATAGCAAAATAAACATTCAATGAAGTACAGAATATTAGTGTCAAATTCACTTAACTATGAAGTAGGTACCTAAATACTAACAAACATTGTATTTGTTTGTGTTCTGCTACTTGTTATACCATCTCTTTTGAAACGTAGAGACTTACATTTGTAATGTTTGTTTATGGTATATAAAAAAATATAATTGTCTACGTATATTTTTAAAGATGGAATAAAGTTTAGTCTGTTTGCTACATTCACGTGTTTTGCTTATAAAACTTTGTCTTTGTTACAGTGGCCACAAGAATGTGGAACCGCGCGTGATCCGTGAACAGATCACTTGCGCGCTTGCTTCTTTCCACCACCGTCAGAAAAGGCATCATCATTCACCTCCGGGTGTACAAAGAGGCGCTAGCGGCCGGAATGGAGCCGCTAAGCGAGAACGGGCTCTGTCTATCCGAGCTCGAGCTGCACGGAGGGGGTCACTTGCACGAGTCCGTGGCCGCGTCCGTGGGCTCTGCGATCTCGAGCCTGATGGCCCCCTTGCACCACGAGCCGCAACATACACCTCTCCATCACGCACCGCCACTGCATCATGAACCGCTTGAAAAGCTCAAATGTAAGTGATTCGTTTTTATCCAAATTAGGTTCTTCAAGTTCTTTAGCCATTCTTAAAGGCAATTTACACTCAGCAATTTTTGTCAATTTTGTTCGTGTCAGTCTTTTGATCTCATCGTATCAACGCATTTGATTTCTTTTTCTTTGGCAATGTTCAACGCTAAATCTAAACCAAGATGCAATGTGAAATCAAAGAATAGTTAAAGTTGGTCTTGTTTATGGATCTTAATTTGAGTAGAAAATATAATACAATTCTACACTACAACCGTTTCTCTATTAGCATGGATCTTCTCAACAGAACAATAAGGTCCGTATTTGAACGAAATTAAATTCGTATCATCCAATCACATAGATCCGTGTAGAAACCAACGAGGAACTCTTATATTGGCGAATAAATTCCGTTTTAAACTCCACCCGGCCAGTAAATAAAATAAACGGGAGTTTTCGCTTTTCATTTCGCGACGCGTGCTCGCATACGATCGAGTCATTCGGCTCGTTTTATTTTATGAAGATATACTGGAGCTGGTAGCTTCTCCTGTCCTCAGATACGAACCTACAAAGGATTTGTTCTTGTAGATAAATGCAGTCTTCCGGCTTTTTATTTCCGATAGGCGCTACGAAATGGTTGGAATGTTTGTATAATTAATATTGTTTTTATATAGTCTAATACTTTTAACAAATAGGCTTCATAAAGATGAAGAAGACACGTATGCTTAAATAGCTAAAATAATTTGACGTGTACGTGTCTTTTTTCATATTTTTAATTTTGTCCTGGTTTTATATTGCGACTACAACGTTTATAAAGAACGAATCTAATAGCTTTAATGTCACTAATAACATAATTTTTATTAATACAGCAAAGTCATAAAAATTACATACGTTTTGTCATCAATACTTCATAATGGAGGACAGTGCACGTGGTACAGTCGCTGATGACTTTATTATGGAGTGACACGAGAATAAAAAGCGGTCCATCGTCACAGGCGATCGGGCAAGAGGACCGTGACGCGATGTGGGCGCACTCTGTATACAAAATTAGGGATTATTCACATCCCACCCGCGTGACACGCAATTCAGATCTTTTGTCTACGCCTCTACCTACATGTCATGTTACACGTCGCGTTTTTGCAAAATTCATGTTTTGTAAACAAACCTTACCTATATCTATAAATACTTAGGTAAAGGCATACAATATTAGGAAAATGAACATGTGAGGTTTCGTGTATCTCTATATACCAATTTTAGGTCGATTTTATAGCTAGTTCTTATAATTCAGTGCCCCATGCAAGGAATAATGTTAAGTGAAGTTAGCAATAGATAATATAAAACTGCAATTTTAACGTTTCACGTACTATTTAATTTCCTAATGAACGAATTAATAATCAGTTTACAAGAAAACAATTTGTGCAATATAATCACAAGCAAATCGACACGAGTTGGGGTGCAGGGTCTAATCGGATAGTTTTTACAAACACATCAATATCGGATTACGCGCCCCCTATGTGTTTAGTTACGCAATTAGTCATGCCGTGAGGGACGACAACTTTAAAATTGGGATGAAGATACTCTTCTATTTGCATTTTTTGTTTACACTGCGTGTTCTGTAGACATCTGTTTTAAGTACTTACTTATGATACTAACATCATTGAATAGTTACATTATTTCATGGCAATAGATTCTATGTGAATACGTTCGCTACTTATTTCCTTACCATTATGCTATTACTACTCAAAAGTTGGTGTTGTATTTTTATTTAGTTCATTACATTCTACGTAAAATTGACTAAGTATTCAGTCAATATTTACATATGTGCTATTATATATTTTGCACGTGAAGCTGGACGTAAACGCAACGATTTGCAATCCATCACAGTCAAACAAAAAGAGCAGTTGACGCAATCATTTAAAGTCAATTTGAATGGATCGGCGCATCATCCCTCTCTTTTACGACACTACGTTTTTAATAATACAAAGTTTTTGTCTCTCTTGCACACAAAAAAGAACCCTCCGGAGTCGGTGGAGCATTATATTGCGATGATTAGCCTTGCACTTGCCGCGTTTGCCATTGAATTTAAATGGGGGATTAAAATGCTACTGTGTGCATTATGTTATTAAAGTTCTATTGTGCGTTACTTCATTACGCGATTAATGTCGTCATTCTATCTTTATTTGCTTTATCAATCTCACTTTCGGTAGTTGTATTACGGAAAAGAAAGAAAAGTTAATTTTAGTGCCTTTCATTCTTAAAAATAGATACAAGAAAATGCTCAAACGATCCGTTTTTATTCGCATGGACATTTTTATAAACTAGTAGATGCCAGCGACTTCGTCCGCGTGGAATAGTGTTCTTCACAGCTCCTTTCCCGCAGGTGATAGCGTGATAGGTAATATGTTTTTAATATTCATGCAAAATTTGAAGTAAATCTATGCAGTACTTTTTGAGTTTAGCCCGTACATATACACAGACAAACAGACCAAAAATTTAAAAACTATATTTTTGGTTTCAGTATCAATTGTAGATTATGCCCAAGTATTCTTTTAAAAGATATTGAATGTTACGACCTTTCTACAATTTTATTATTAAAAAATATAGGAAGAAGGATCTTATAAATACGTCTTACAATTAAGTATCGGTAAGTCGAATATGTGCGGACGCTACCTTAGTTCAACAAGCTCTTGATTGGATCGTAAAAAGTCTTTGTAAAAATTGTGTCTCGATTTTTTTGCATATGCGGTTAAAAATCCCATCTGTTCTGCGTATGATATCGCCTTCCCAAGCTTATCCGTCGAAGATTGTTCCTATATCCCGAGATTTTTATAAAATAGGCGAAAAACACGTTTCGTGGCTTTAATTTTAAATTGATCAGGTTTTGCGGAATCTTATTAAAGCCTCTTCGTTCGTTGATTCTGTCGATGCCTTTTTTCACCTCATCCGCAGCTAAACCGGGGGTGGATCTCATTATTTCCTTGGAACAAAATATGGGAAATTAATTAGGTGGGATTTCAGAGCATTATTTTTTCATGTTTATCATTCTCACGTATGTGAAAATGAATATTGTTTTATTCTACGATATTTTCTCTGAATTGTGTAGCGTTTTACAAATGTTTACGTTTTTACTGGAAACAACAAATCTGACGAGTAATATTGCGTTCATTTCAGAATTATTTTAACTATAATTATGTCTCATTTAGACAACTATAGCTCCATCTAGTTGACGTGCACCTAAACATCCGGAGGTTAATTAATTTCACGGTATTATAGGATATAAAAATAATCCTCGGTCATTAAATAAGCAAAACAATGATTATGGAGTCTATTATACATATTTAATAAGAAAAACAAACGTTCGTTTTATCGATTAACCAACTTTGTGTTGGGAAGTTTGCCAAACAAAGAATTGGGAAGCTCGGCTCGCACCGTCGCGCGTCGTGCCGCACGTAATCAACCATTTTGTGATGTGAAGGATTACAAGTTGCCACCGAGTAAGATGTTACGCTCATTTTGGACTAATATTCCAAGTAGCTTGATTAATTTACGATACTTTCTAATTACCTTACACTTTCATACGAGCGAATAGCGTAGTTAATTGAAAGAATTAACTACGCTATTAAAGAATTAAGAATAATTTACATAAATATATGCTATTGTCTACAGATGGCTGATGAGGTTCAGAAAATAGTTTTATCTCTACGACGTCTGTTTAGGTTTGATTTGAGATATTTTTGGGGTCTACAAAAGAGTTTTATCGTAATACGAGTATGTAAATTGAATATTTCATCAAGTAGGTTGGTATGCCCGTGATGTGTGAGGCCACGGGCCCAAACAAATATTTGTTGTGTTAGTTCACGTCTCGGGTCGAGATTACTGACTTTATCTAAATGTACCCAAATCTGACCGACGCACGCGCACGTAGCTAACCCACTAAGATGACAGGATATTAGTCAAGCTGGAATTTAACTCGTTTCAGTAGATAATCTTCAATAGAATTGTTTAGAAATCAAAAACATTATACTTCCCCGAGAGTTTTACAATTTGCTAACTATTATATCGACAGACACATTTTACTGTTATAGAAATTGCCTTGCTTAATCAAGTCTAAAGATTACTGATTCACTAACAGTTAACCTTTAAACAGTTTTCTGTAAACTCAGTAACTAGTAATTCCCAGAAAACCATAGGCTAGACAGCATAACTGTAGGCATCGTTTGATCCATACTTTTTCTGACGTGGTTTTGTTTTACAAGATATAAAATCACGGGCAGACATTATTTATCTGTGGAGTGACAAAAAATACGCAAAAACCTGGTGCCACACTGTCTGACGTAGAGACGGGCGCGTACTATAAAGTATTTTTTCTGCGGGTGAAAAAACTGCATCCCCCTGTGTCATATGAGCCTTACACCGGGCCCCGTTGTCGCCCGCTTTGATCGCAGACCCTGGTGATAAATTAATATGACTTTTTTTGTAATTGATGTTTAGAAAAACACTCTGACAAATTTTGCGTTGGATTTTGTGTGGTGGTTGCTGATGGGGCTTGCAAATTCAAGATCAATATTCGTTGGCTATTGTAGTTACATTTTAGTAACGCTAGTGTTTCGTACTTATAAACTACTAGCAACCTGTCCCGGCTTCGCACGGGGTAGACAATTATTTATTTTTGGACATTTGGATTGTTGTAGTGACATAACTACAATAGTTGGACATATGCTACCGGAGAGTTTTTTGTAGACATTATGATGTTCTTCAATATTGTTGTACATTATTTTGTTCTATCGCTAATAGTTTCTGCAGCGCATTCGACGAAAGACATTTTTAGACTCATTTTTCTACACCTTCGGTTACATTGTTCAAATTTTACGAAGGATCCCTAATTTTTTTCAAAATGAAATGTAATCTATGTCAAATTGGAAGAATGAAGCATTCTATTGGTGAAAGATTTTTTTAAATCGGCCCAGTACTTTTTGAGCCTATTCATTACAAACATACAAAAATAGGTACACA